GGAATTGCTGTGGAGCGCTGCTGACCTCTGTGCACCCCCTGCCTGGTCTAAATTCCATCACATACCCTGTGTCCTTCTTACTTAAATCATTGCTGGCAAAGATCTTGGCACTAGTTTTATAGTCTGCTCTTTTGTTGGCTTGTGGGTTGACATTTCCCTTGACAAAAGGACACGCGAGATAGGTGAGCAATGGGTCTCCTTTAGGAGAGGAAACAGTCAGGGGTAAGAGTTGCTACCTCATGTGTTCAGCATGGCTTGGTGAGGAGAGAACATGAGAAGCTGGCTGAGCGGAGTTGTAGTACGGTGCAGGGAGGAAAACAGGAATAAAGACAGTGGAGAATTTCTTCTGTGAAAGGGGTCAGTAGCAGCAGTCAGCAGCAGCATAAATTTGTCTCTTTTGAACCTTCTCTCTTCAACATCAATACACAAAAGCAGCATTTCAAAGATAGCTGTACTCATACCATTTCTGCTTGGGATATTGCAAGCAATTTTGTGAAATTCCAAGTGAAAATTATTCCCGCAGCTCATTTTAATATAGTTCAGAACTACTGTTCTGAAATGCTGCTGACACGGGATATGCCAGGGTTACAAAACTGCCCCAAACAGAATGGGAACCATTTTCAAACAGTATTTTATGGCAAGCATCATTGCACTTTTACACACCAGTACACAACAATATCAAACTTTGTCTTGAAGTCAATATAAATGAGATTTTGTTGGGTTTATTTTTCTGGTCCAGGTGGGGGAAGTAGTGAGGTGATGTGGAAGAGGCAGATTAGAGACAAGAGGTTCTTTGAAAGGAAAATAGAGGGTCAAAAACCAGAAGCACTATTCTCTTTACATGAAATAGAATTTGTGCCCTTTCACCACTGGATTTTAAGCCCGGTTAAAGATCATTGACTAAGCAGAGATCATTCTAGTTTCTACCAGTCTGACCAGTCAGTATGGATGGGAATCAAAACTGTTCAAATGCTCCTAGTCTAACTTAGGAAAATATAACTTTTAATCACTCTTCTTTTGTCACTTGGTTGCATGTATGTTAGCTATTCAAGTGGTGTCCAAAGCTGTTGTAGCCTAGACCATGTCCAACCTAACTTGAAATACTGATCTCTAATTTGCTTTAAGAGCCAAGATATATGGGCTTGAGAACATGAAAAACCTAGGGAACCTGTTGAAATTCATTTGACCCTGCCTCTCCATTCATAGTTTCATAGTTTGCAGGGTCGGAAGGGACCTTGACAGATCATCAAGTCCGACCCCCTGCCATGGCAGGAAAGAGTACTGGGATCAAACGACCCCAGCAAGGTGTTCATCCAGCTTCCACTTAAAGACCCCCAGGGTCGGAGCCAGCACCACTTCTCTTGGAAGTTGGTTCCAGATCCTAGCCGCCCTGACAGTGAAGTAGCGCCTCCTGATGTCTAGCCTGAATCTACCCTCTGCCAGCTTGTGGCCGTTATTTCTAGTCACTCCAATTTCAGCAATTTTGCTACATTATTGCTCTTTCCTTCTAATGATAAAGTTAAAGAGCTAATAATCAAACTGATGATAAAAGTTAAAAAGCATGAGCTGGCCATTATAAAAGCGACAGCATTAAGGAGGTTGAGATACAATGCCTAGGAAAACAAAAGGCAAGCACTACCATACCAGAACACACCTCTGACCCATCTGGGCTACTCTGACTCCAGCAGCTCCCATTTCAAGAGGCTTAAAAGGCAGATGCAA